ATCTGCTTCCAACTCTAATCATTCTAGTTCACTACCTGTCCGTACTCGTTGCTGTGCAAAGTGGTGATATCTCCACTGCGGACGCCCTGTCTCTCGTTCAAGATCTCGTCATCTCCTGTACTGCGCAGCGTGGTGCCGTCCATCTTGCCATCGACACCCCGCCTAACACCAGGCTCGACCAGACTGCCCGCTCCACTGGGTACATTTGGCCAGAACTCCTCTTCAGCATCTAACAGGGCCCTCCAAATAGGATCAATCCTGCTCTTGACCTCTGCCCATCTTGCATCATCTCGGTCAACAGCGTCGCTTACACCCTCGTTGACAATGCGCTCAAGCTGCTCAACGAACATGAGGAAATCGCGATTTGACCAATTGGGAATGAACTCTCTGCGCATCGCACCGCCGTCCTGGTCGTTGTCGTAGTTCCGAGGAGAAGATTGAGCATCTTGTCGGCGGGCCCAGGACCAGGCCTCGTAATATACCTTCTCGGTCGACCATAGTAAAATGGCGCCTTCGAGCCACGGCATGAATGTGTTTGGTTGCTGGGAAGCAACACTAGCGAACAGTGCTTCATAGCGGCGAAGACCTTCGGATTTGACGCTCTCCTGGAGTGGTGAGGGCGGAAGATCGATCTTGTAGATCTCAGCGACTTCTTGGAAGAACCGCAGCTCCCTCTCTCCATTCTTGGTAGCGGATTCTAACCACGCAATGAATCGCGTGGGAATGTCTGGCTCCTCACCATGTGCAGTCGTTGACTTGTGCGTACTGCGGATGAGGTTGAGGGTGTGGTTGATAGTAGCAAGATAACCTTGAAGGTACTGCCTGTCGTTTGCGAGCCATTGCGCAATCAGAGGCTTTGGTAGGGTACCCTTTGCGGCACGCTCGAGGAAGGGATGTCTTGTAACGCGGAGCAATTGTTCGTGGTTGATGGCGAGGAGATGAGTTGTGACTGCCCAAGGGACGTTGGTGGGGTCGATGTCGCTCTTGCTGGCCCAGGTTCCGGGGTGGTGGTGAGGCATGGTAAGTATCGTTCGCGTAGGATCTGTGTTATCTGTATTGAACGGTGTATGTATTCGATGAGGTACATGTTGCGGAGCTGGCGGGGTAGCAAGCTACTTATATGCTACATGAGGATGCTTGCCAAGCGACACGATGGCTCCGAGGGATCACAATTACGTGTTGAGGCTGAGGGTACAAGGACGTGTGGCGTTGCCAAGTAAGATTGATGGTGTTGAATGTGCGCATGACGTCGGACAAGGACCATCGGAGTTTGCGACGCTCTGAGTGGTGCAGGCGTACGGCAAACCGGAATCTAGAATCCCAACTCGGAACTTGGCAGTTCAATTCGTAGCGGAATTCTTGGCATCGAACAATTTAGAACTTGTCCAAGCTATACTCTGTGGCTGAAGCAAGGCGGACTGCTTGGCGCATGACGATGCCGCCACTTTTGAGCTGCTGCTGATGTGATGGTTTGAGTGTGTCGGACAAAATTCGGGCAGCGAGATTAGTATACAAGCTCACGCGACCAAGATTTTGAGTTGAGGAACATGGTGTTTGCCGGTTAACTTCTCAATTCGTACCGGCATATTGCCAGTCCTTCGATGGTCACATTGCTTCGTCGAACACGGGTGCTCCGTGGCTGTGGTTTGTAAGACGAGCGGACGTGGTGAAGAAGAAGAGAAGTCTAGACAATGCAGCAGGGAATTTAGAAGGTCAAGGGACTTGGACGATAATTTTGGTAGCTATTGTAATGAGATGAAAACATGAAGGATGATAATGAGTGAAGGTGTCCCGAAACCTCGGTCGCCTGTGCTAGCGCGGCGCGTCATACTGCAGCCTCCACCTCGAACTTTCTTGCGACCGACCGTCGACGCCAACCCTAGCCCAAACCAGCGGGCTATTCACACAGAACGATCATGGAATTCTCCGCAGACGACGAGCAGGCTCTTAAGCAATACCTGCCTAGCGAATTTGGAAAAAAGGATGGCTCCGTGAACGTCGAGGCGCAAATCGAGCGCGCGCGTAGGCCAGTGGTTGATGAGAGCAAGCAGGCAAAGAAGGAGAAAGGGTCGGACGACGAAAAGGATTCGGACGATGATGATAGCGATATGAGCGATGAAGAAGACGAATATCCAGTTTCCCACGAACTGGTCATCAAGACGCACGATCGCGCGGTCACGACGATTGCGCTCGATGCATCTGGTACGCGGCTGGTGACTGGAGGGAACGATTGCACACTCAAGCTACACGATCTTAGTGCACTTACCCCGAGTACTATCCGCGCGTTCAAGACGGTCGATCCTTTTACCACCAAACCCTCGCAAACGGCCGAGTCGCATTCGATACACCAGGTTGTGTTTGGCCCACACTCTGGAGGCCAATTCCTGTGCATTACTGCAACATCACAGGCGAGGCTGTTCAGCAGGGATGGAGAGCTTATATCAGAGTTTGTCAAGGGCGACATGTACCTGAGGGACAAGCACAACACAAAAGGACATACGGCAGAAATCACAAGCGGCGCGTGGCACCCCACGAACCGCGACCGCTTCGCGACGGCAGGCACAGACAGTACAGTGCGGATATGGGACGTGAATAAAAGGATGAAGCAGGAGGAGGTCATCGTGCACAAGTCAAGAGCTGCTGGTAGCGCGGGCATGACAAGGATGACGGCCATTGCATGGGGCGCCGCAGCCGAGGGAGGGAGCAGTATGCTGGTGTCAGCAGCACTAGACGGAAGTCTCGTCATGTGGGGTGGTGAAGGACCCTATCATAGGCCGACAGCAGAGATTAAAGAAGCGCACGCGAAAGACACATGGACGAGCGGACTGGACATCAGCGCAGATGGCAGGCTGGTGATCACGAGAGGAGGGGACGACACCATCAAGTTGTGGGACACGAGGAAGTTCAAGACACCTCTGAACACCACATCACATCCGTCAACGTCTTCACAATATCCCACATCGAACATCAAGTTTGCGCCCAACTCGCAGAGCATAGTCACAGGATCAGAGACCGGGCACCTACACATCCTCAACCCAGCCACACTTCGCCCGGAGCTGGTCACACCAGTCACGCCAGGCTCTCCTCTGATAACAGTCAACTGGCATCTCAGGCTCAACCAAATCCTCACGGGTTCGGCCAACGGCCAGACAACCATTCTCTTCAACCCCAAGCTATCCAACGCCGGTGCTCTTACCATCCTCAGCAAGGCACCCAAGAAGCGACACCTCGATGACGACCCGTCCCTCACCGTAGACATGGACCCACTCGGTATGGCTGGTGAAGCACACGATCCTTCTGGCAATGCAGCCTCATTTTCCGCACGCCATCCCACCATCGGTCTCACAGCCTCGGGTAAGAGCCGCGACCCACGGAGACCGCATATCCCGGCTACAACACCTTTTGCCAAGTCAACGCCCGACCAAAAGTACGTCATGGAACAGATTGAAGGCAGTGATATGAGGGACGAGGATCCTAGGGAGGCGCTGCTCAAGTATGCGCTGAAAGAGGGAGAGAAAGCTGTCTTCACCGGCGCGTGGGAGAAGACCCAACCCGTTGGAATCTACAAGGACTACGACAGTGAGGAGGATGAGAGGGAGAAGAAGAAGGCAAAGCGGTAGCCGAGCCGGGGCTGCATACCGACTTGGGATCCCTACAAGGGATGTTTGTACCATAGCGAAATATACCCAATGGCATAGAGACTATGGATTAGTCAAGCCACCAATCAATCCATACAATGATCACGGGTAAAGCTCCTAAGACACCATGTGCGGAGGATGATAAGGGGCACTGACACGTGCGCCCATGGTGCCCAAGTCTTCCTCCGCACATGGTGTCTTCGAAGCTACCCAGGCAGGGCTACACTAGCGTAGCCGCGTCGCGCCCCATAAGCAAACGCAAACAACCCCACTCGCCTCGCATCACGACAACCTCCAGCCCACAACCGCCAATTCGACCGCTACTCCCTCTGCAACCCACCAATTCCGCGCCCAAACCACCGCGACGATGTTCTCCTCCACCTTCCGCGCTGCGGCCCGCGCGCCCACCTCGACCTTCGCACGCAGCTTCTCGTCCACCCGCCCCTCGCAGGTCGCGCGCATGACCGTCATCGGCCGTCTCGGAGTTGCGCCAGAAGAAGTCACCGTCTCTGGCGACAGGACACTCGTGCGCTACGTAGTAGGAACGAGCTACGGCAAGGGCGAGGACAAGAAGACCAGCTGGTTCCGGATTGCGAGTTTCGTGCAGGGCGCGCAGAAGGATTTCCTGATGAACGTGCCCAAGGGATCGATGCTCTATGTGGATGCGGATGCGCGCATGGAGACGTACCTTGACAGCGAGGGCAACAAGAAGAGCAATTTGAGCTTGGTTGCACGTATGTTTTCGGATGCGGGTGGATGAGAGAGGTCATGCTAATTTGGTGGTGTAGGCAACTTCGATGTCTTGTCTCGAGCTCGTACTGAGGACACGGAGAACAACGACGAGGGCCTTGTTCAGGAAGCTTCTGGTTAAACAGGCAGTTTTGCTTGCTCATCCATCTTGCTTCGAACATAATGTCCGATGGCGGCAGTTTCTACAACAGCTCGAGTGGTAAGTGTCGGCTGCGGGGTAGGGAAGGTTCGATGAGACACGTCTTTGCGCGGCGCTGTAGGATCTTCTTGTGGAGTTTCTCTTTACGATATTCAAATGTACGACTATGGGCTCACAATTTACTTTGTAAGATCTCTACTCTAGGAGTGGCGTGGCTTGGAATTTTACGGAATGATACCTTTTTCTTCATGATACATGAACGATACCGCCACTAACAACGCAATTACGGGAGAAATTCTAGCAGCAAAGAACCAAACTACGCACCCATCAGTTGAGCAGCTTGGTATACCTATTGCATCTCGTCAGACTACCCACTTGCGCACGGACGTGATGCGGCGAACGAAGACCTCCGAGTTGGCCCATTCCAACTTTTTGTGGCGCAACACCCGGACTCCAACACAGCACTTCACATAATGCACAGAGTCGTGCCGTTACCAGCGCGTCAGCTCTGGGGCCACGCGCCTCGAGTACGGTCGGTCAATCGCTTCAGTCGTCGCCCACGCACATTCGCGACGGTGTCTGGCGCAGACCGGTACGCCACTCTACTATCAGACCCCACCAATCAACCAACACTGACTCTTATATAGGCCATACGATGTAATCGTAATCGGCGGCGGTCACGCAGGCTGCGAGGCCTCCGCAGCAGCAGCCCGCTCCGGCGCCCGAACGGCCCTCATAACGCCCTCAGTCCACAACCTCGGTGTCTGCTCGTGTAATCCTTCCTTCGGTGGTATCGGAAAAGGCACTATGCTTCGCGAAATCGATGCGCTGGACGGTGTCGTGGGTCGTATTGTGGATAAGGCGGGTGTGCAGTTCAGGGTACTAAATAGGAAGAAGGGTCCTGCTGTGTGGGGACCCAGAGCGCAGATCGACAGAGCGTTGTACAAGAGATATATGAAGGACGAAATGCTGGCATACAAGGGGTTGAGCGTTGTGGAAGGTAGCGTGGCGGATATCATCGTGGACAGGACACAAGAGGAGGGATCCAAGGGCCAATATGGAAAGATTACTGGTGTAAGGTTGGAGAGTGGGGAGATAATACCCACAAGGAACGCGGTCATCACGACTGGCACGTTTCTTGGTGGAGAAATACATATTGGTCTTGAGTCGTTCCCATCCGGGCGCATGGGTGAAGCGGCGACCTTTGGACTGAGCAAAAGTTTGAACGATGCTGGATTCACAATGGGAAGGTTGAAGACAGGGACACCACCACGGTTGGACGGGAAGACGATCGACTACAAAGTTTTGGAAGCGCAGGAGGGCGATAACCCGCCTATGCCTTTCAGCTATTTGAACGAGCGCGTTCAGGTCGAGAACCAATTACTGAATCACGAGACACGTACGAACGAAGCGACGCACGACGTAATAAGAGACAATCTCGATAAGTCAATACACATCCGCGAAACCGTAAAAGGACCGCGGTATTGTCCATCACTAGAATCGAAAGTGATACGGTTCGCAGACAAGACATCACACATCGTCTGGCTAGAGCCGGAAGGTTTCGACAGCGACATAATATACCCGAACGGAATCTCCTGTACAGTTCCCGCAGACGTACAAGATATCATGCTCAAGACTATCAAGGGACTTGAGAACGTCAAGATGCTGCAGCCTGGCTACGGTGTAGAATACGACTACGTCGACCCACGGCATCTTCGTTCTACACTTGAGACGAAGAACATCTCAGGACTCTTCCTAGCAGGCCAAATCAACGGCACAACTGGCTACGAAGAAGCAGCAGGTCAGGGTGTAATTGCTGGCATCAACGCTGGCCTGAAGAGTCTAGGAAAAGAAGCCATGGTTCTGACGAGAGCGGATGGATACATCGGCATCATGATCGACGACCTCATCACAAAGGGTGTCTCAGAACCATATCGCATGTTCACCTCCCGCTCCGAATACCGGATGTCTGCGCGCGCCGACAACGCCGACACACGTCTCACAGCTATGGGCCGAGCCGCCGGCGTAGTTAGCGACCTAAGATGGAAAGCCTTCGAAGACGAAGCCGAACAAATGGCCGCTCTGGCCCAAGTCCTTCAATCCAAAACCATGGGTTGGACAGACTGGAACAAAGAAGGTTTTCCCGTACGAAACGACAGCACAAAACGTTCCGCATATGACCTCCTCCGCCTCCCCAACACCACCCCATCCAGCCTCACCGCCCTCCTCCCCGAAATTAAAGGCTTCTCACAACGCATCCAAGACCGCGTTCACATCGAAGCCACCTACGCCCCCTACGTCGCTTCCCAAACCGCCACACAAGCCCGGTGGCTCAAAGACGAGAACCTCAAGCTACCAGTTGACCTTGACTACGAATCCATCTTTGGGCTTAGCTTCGAAGAAAAGAGGGCGTTGGAGGTAGCAAGGCCGGAGAGCGTGGGCATGGCGAGACGCGTTGAGGGTGTTACGCCGACGGGCGCGTTGAGGTTGTTGCAGTTTGTGAGGGGAGTGGGCAAGGAAGAGAGACAGGCGAGGATGAAGGAGGAGATTGAGGCGAGGAAGGAGAAGTATAGGGGTATGGCGCAGGGGGTGAGTGTTGAGGGGTTGTGATGAATGGGTGGCTGTGGTGGAGTGTAGGTTTGTAAGATATGGCATTGGGCGGCGTTGATAATCCTCAGATGCGATAGCTAAGTCTTCAAACTGGTTTCAAATGGCGATGGTCAAAAGACGGCATACAAAGTCAATCGCACTCATTCCGCATACCAAGGTACAACTCCAATGACCGTTGCGAACCAGATCAGGTCCGATTCTGAGTCAAAGGCGCATTCTCTCTTGCCTCGAAATCCAAACTTGCAGTGAACGGAATGTCGGGGTCGCTGCTGCCTTCCAGGACTGTGCCCCGCTGTCAGATGACGTCGGTTCGCGGACGCGACTGCTAATCTAGATATCACATGATGCCTACCGTGCCACTCAGTTCTAACAACAGCGTTTCGAAATGGGACTTTTTGTTCTTACTTCGCTGCAACCGCCCCATTCCACAATCTGGGTCTTCCGTCTTCCTCTCCCACAACGAGATCGAGATCGCCGAGTTCAGCAGCGCGCATCGGAGTGAGTTGCGCTTACATATCGATTGGCATCATCATTGGATGTGAAGATGGAGAAGGATCAGAATGGTACGTCTTTCTTTTGTCATTTTCCGGAGGTGCATTCGTCTGCTACAATCTTCGTCGCGGTGGGGGGCTGAATTGTGGTTGCGCACCGAGAGGTGCTACGCCGCTGTCAGCTTGAGTATAACTGTGTTTCTGGGGTTGAGTCGAGTCTGCGCTTTACTTGGGCCCTGTTACGCATGCGCTCAGAACGATTCCATCCCACCGGGCTACGCCGCCATCAGTTTGGGTGACTGCGCCTTTGGGATTGACTTGAGTCTGCACCTTACTTCGATCGGATGATGCAGTCGTTCCTGTATCCAGGATGGGACCGCCCCGGCATGCTACGCCTCCATCACCTTGGGTGACTGTGCCTTCGGGTTCGAGTCGAGGTTATTCCTTGACACGGGTCAGATTACGCAGTCTTGTCTCTGTGCCAAAGAGGGGGCGGTCTCATTTCGAGTGCCTCCGAAGACACGCGCGGATGAGTATACGTATTGAGAAAGACGTTGGGTATAATGGGATGCATTCGGAAGCCAGTTTGGATCTCAACATCTTCGTTCGAGGCTGTCTCGTTCTTCATCCTATTGCTTAGCTGATTTATAGTCATCTCTGGCGCTCTTCAAACTCCTTATTACAGCCATGAGGCTCCACTTAGCAGTGCTTCTTTTCGCTCGGCTGACGTCGTCGATGTTATCTGCTAACCGTAACGCCGCAGAATCCCTGGAGCCAGTCAAGAGCGAAGGAGCATCACAGAAGGATGTAAACCCGCCAGTCGATCAACAAGCTGCGACTTCCGAGCCGAGAGACGTCCCACTTGGATCTACTATCGTTGAAGTGCAGCGAGATGCTTCGTCTGAGACCCGAGTTTACACGGTCTATGCAAGCGACGTCCACAACGAAGCCCAGGTCAATGAGACGCGCTCTTGGCTCAAGAGCCTTGTCAAAGACAAAGACAGGATGCGTGACGAGCTGGGATGGACCTGGGACACCATCGAAGATTTCCCCAGAGAAGAGGTGAGCTGTGGATAAACGAAACACATGGGATATGAATGCTGACTTCAGGTTTTCCCTCTGTAGTGGGACAAGCTGGCCGATGAAGGCAGGCTAGAAGAGGAGTTCGACAATTACGAAGTGGTGCGTTGCTGGTCAGGCGTGGTCTTGGACCAGGCTGGATACGAGAAGGTCGCAGCCAAAACGGAATGGTAAGTTATGGCTGTACAAAGTGCATGGGAGACATATGCTAACTTTGTACCTTTACCACTGTAGGATAGAGGCAATTGAAGCTAACCTACACACTTCGGACATGAACGCACGTGCACTCCCGACAAAGACATATACCGTCTACGCAGCCGACATCAGGAACGAGGCCCAAGTCAACGAAACTCGGGTTTGGCTTGAGGGTTTGACCAAGGACAAGTCTAAGATGCGCGAGGAGAAGAGGTTTCCCTGGGATGAGCCCGAAGACATACCAGAAGACGAACTCGACAGATTGTACGACGAGGGCAGGCTCGACGCCGAGCTTGACAATTACGAAGTAGTTCACGCGTGGGGAGGCGTTATACTAGACCAGTCAGGGTACGACGAGGTGATGGCCAAGAAGGAATGGGTGGAGCATGTCGAAGATCCGAGTCAATACCACGAAGTGAAGATGATTGCTGTCCCCAGAATGAGTAGCAAGACCACGGGAACTCTGGAAGCTCGGAAATTCGAATGGGGAGATTGGCAGAAGCAGGAGGGTGCAGCGCGGGACTTGGTCCAAGCCAGCTGTTACGAGTAAGTAAAGGTCTGAATGCTGTATCTTGACTGGGCTAACATGTCAACCCAAGGGGAAGCAATTTGGAGGACTTGTAAGTACCTACTACGGTACTTGAAGCCCTAAAGAGGCCGGAACTAACCTGTTACAAACAGCAAGGACTACATTTACGAGAAGAGAGCTGGAGAGGGAGTACATGTGTATGTTTTGGATGATGGGGTACAGGTAGATGTTAAAAAGGTAATGACTTACCTCACATACGTTGGTGACATCGCTCTAACCCGACTCCAGGAAACCGACGAAAAAGTGTTTCCAGGTTTCGGCAACGAGCAGGACAATAGCGGTATCGTAGAAACAAGAGCTTTCACCAACCAAAATGCTGCGCACAACATTCGATACGACCATTCCCCCAAAGGCCACGGAACGAAAGTAGCGTCCAAAATCGTTGGGCAGTGGGGAACCGCAAAGGGAGCGACACTGGTGCCGGTGCAGGTCAAACCGGGCGGAGACGATATTGACAACGGGTTCGAAAGGATTTTTGCAGATGTAAGCAGGCGGCGCAGGAAAATACCAGGGTTCCAAGCTGTAAGTACGACCAACAACCGACGCCATCGACGCATGTTTACTGTTCTGGACTAAGCTTATTGGGTATACTAACGTCGCGTGACTTTCAGGTTGTCGTTATGAGCAGCGGCACGGAACGCGCCGTCGCAGACAATGGCCACAAGGGCTACACACGAGAAGAAGCAGAGAACGATTACAGAGCAAAGCGACAGATTCTCTGGATAAAGCAGTTATTCAGTTACGGGGTCCCCGTGGTGCTCGCTTCTGGTAATGAAGCCGAAACTGAAGGCCGAAAAGTCATCGACAATTTCCCCCAGGTCTTGGAGACAGATGACTTTCCCATTATCAACGTCGGAGCTGCCACGCTTGCAGGCAAAGCTGCACGTTTCTCGCAAGGCCTGGGTACCCAGCAAGATCCAGAGAAGCGCACACAGCTGACCATCTACGGTGTTGGAGTGGATGTCGACGTCCACGATCAATATGACGGTGCAGCAACGCAGGATTCGGGTACGTCGTTCGTTGCACCGGCGGTGGCAGGCATTATTGCTACACACATGAACTACGAATCCTGGGACCAGAGCAAGCAAGGACCCGACCGAGTGAAAGAAATCAAGAGATGGATAACCACGCCTGAGTCGAGCTGGGAGCGTGCCAAAGATCCCGACAAGCAAGTCAACATGGTAAGAACGACGGCAACACAACCCGAAGTTAATAAGGAAGCTGACTCAAACAGATCTGGAACGGCGCCGACAAAGCGGCCCACGGCAGCGTCTCCAACAACCAGTCGCCCAGCCCATTCCCTTAACCCCAAAAGCGCACCTTCACCGTCGGCCTCGAACAAATCACGACCCCAGAATGCTCCAGCGTCATCTCTAACCCCGACTTCCCCCCACATGACAGCTGCGATTTCAAATACGAAAACCGATACTTCTTCTACCGCCTCGACGACAACAACCAGGAACCCGACAGCCTGTGCACCTCTCTACTCAACGACTTTCACCAAGACGACCAAGGCGTAACGACCGACGAGAACCTCTTCGAGCATCCGACGTGGCCGGCGGGAGAGTGGACCCTGAATCTCTTCGGCGAGGAATATGTCTATAGGAATGATGGGCAGAGTCCGGGGGCGCTGTTTAAGGGCGAGCAGCAGATTGGTTGCACGGGTGATCTGGAAAATCATGGTAAGTCTAAGATTTCCGGAGTGGCTGTGCGCTTTGACTTTTTGCTAACGAGTATCATAGATCCTCTGTCGGATGAGTTGTGTGAGAACAGTCTGACCAAGGAAGATGGGAGGAAGAGGAAACGGAGACGGCTGGTTGGTTGCACTTGGTGAGTGCATGTGTGGTCGTGGCAGCGACATGGGTACCTCTTTCTGTCGTTTGATTCTTTTTTGCTCTATGTAGGCTTTCGGGATGTTTTTGTTTCTACGATCTTTTTGTCACCGATGCTATATGTACAACCAACTCAGATGCCAGGCACATCTTGCGCTCACTCCTGCTGCGACATGTGTGTCGGGAAGTTGTAATCCGTATAATCGATATGTACAAACGCGCGATCAACGTACGGTACGCTCTCTGTAACCCTGTCAGTTTCCTGGTCCATGTAAAGATAGAGAAGAAAGATGACTTACCAAGCACATACTGCAGACTCTCACCCAAGTCATGGCTATCCCTCAAACTGAGATTCTCATCAACCACAATATCGACCTCGACATTCAGCTTATCGCCCGCGTGATAGGCCTGCAGACCCTGGATTCTCTTGATGGATTTTGCAAAGCGCATCGTCATGTAGAGGAGGATGTTGCGCTCATCTGCCGTGGCACTAGCACCGGTCAGGTTGCGAATGTGCTCAGCGGAGGTAGCACTCCAGTTGATGATAACATAAGCGGAGAGTAGAATACCACCGAGCGAGTCGAGCCACCAGATCTTCGCGAAGTAGCCTACAAGGGGGAACAGGATAGAGAAGGTGTTGAAGACGACATCAGTCATGGCGTCTTGGGCTAATGCCTGAACGGAGGAGTTGCGGATGAGACGGCACCATAGCCAGCAGAGGCCTTTGATGACGACTGTAGCGGCCATGATGGCCACGGCGGGAATAGTCAATTGCACGATTGTGCGATCGGGTCCAGTGAGTCTGGAAATGCCCTCGATGCCGACTTGGAAGAAGGATGTCATCATGATGACGGAGAAGATGAGTACGCCGATGGGTTCGAGACGGCGGCGGCCGACTGGGTAGGCGTAGCGGTCTTGACGCGCGATCATCCAGGACGTGAACCATACGATGGCCGTGGAGAGGAAGTCCAGTGCCGCGTCGACCAAACTGGCGACTACGGAGAGGGACGAGGTGAGGACTGTGACGACGATCTTCATGATCAGAAGGGCTGTGTTTGCGCTGAGGTTGACGTATAGTGCAAGCTTCACAATGGGGCTTTCGGTGTCTTCGTCTTCTTCTGGGACCCAGTCCTTCAGCTTGGAGTTTGCGACCTCCAAGTCCTCTTCGTCTTCTACGGCCTCGTCGTGTGCGAGAAGAGGCGTGTTTTCGTCTGCCTCAGGGACTTTGTAGAGGTTCTTCGGTGTGCGCTTGACCATGGGTTTTTGAGCACCGTTACCGTTGAGACTGCCTGACGAACCACTTCGCCCGTTCTCACTATAGTATCCGGGTGTGTTGGTGCCATTTGTACCAGCGGGGGTAACAGCGAGGGGAGAAGTCGAGGCCGAAGACTCTTCTCGGATGGTTGAGGGAATCTTGACGGCGCCGGATTCCATGTTCGTGTACTCTTGGATGAGGTTGTGCGGGAGGGAGGAGTCGAGTAGACGGTCGATGTATAGGTAGTGCTGCAGGAGCTGGTTGTTGCGCTCGTAGTATTCGCGGATCGGCTTCTTCATGCCCTTGAGCTCTTCCTCGGATTTGTAGTACTTCTCCCACTTGTACCGGGGATTGGAGTTGCCAATCAGCCGCTGGCTCCTCATCTGCGGCGTGTTGAGCACATGCGCGCCGATGCTGCTCCTCCGATCAGAGTCGCGGTCGTAAGGCATCACGAGCCCGTTCCTGTATGCTTCCAGGTCTTCATCGTCTGTGTCGCTGCCCCGGCGCTCACTGCTGCGTATAGTGGACGGTCGACGTGCGCTGTTGAGTAGCGAGGGGAGGTGGTGCCCGCGCGTAGATATCGCCGAAGCATCGTTCTGCAGCGGGAGAAAGAGCTTGGAGCTGGCCAGGCGCGGGAGGCTCGATGAGCGTGGGACTGTCACCGGAGAGGGCGACTTGGGCGGTGGTGTGGAGCCATAGTCTGTCATGGCTGCGATTGGGATGCAGTCGCTGAAGAGGCGTGATTAGAGGGCCAATTCCTTCGAATCAAGTTGCTGCGCGTCGACGCGACAAAGACAATGAGCCAACCTGGTGTCGTTCTCTTATCGTAACGGCGCACTGCGATTGACTACGGGAAAAGACTTGGACGGGTAAATGCGCGCGCCGGCCAAACAGACTTGAGATGAAAAGCGCGGCGATGCGAAGAGTTAAAAAGAAGATGCCGTGAAGCACTTCAGCCGTGTCAACGCCCAAGAGACATGACCAACCGTGGTACCGCCGACGCGTGCGCGAATGCGACGAGTAGGTTCGCCGAAACAAGAGGGTCCTGGTTCGGAGACGGGATCGACATTTCTGAGGCCCAGAATCCTTGCGCCTGCATCCACTTTAGCTGTGGCCATAGCGCCACACTAGCAATCTGGGGTCGAACAGCCGAGACATCGCTGCAAGATTTCGACTATAGTTTCGTGTCTTATGTTTCACGCAGTCACATTCAGCCCTCTGGAACATTACTTTCATTCGCTTGTCATCTGGAATCTCCCGTTGGGACCTGACTTCATGGAGTTGAGCCTTCTGGCCGTTCTGTGCCCATTTTTTGGCGGGGACCCACACTGACCGGCAGTCTCAAGTAATGTACTCATCCCCACGCCGGTACAGTAGCGCCGTTCCAGGTCTCAAACTCCTGTCTTGGCTGTCTATCATCTTCAAAGGTCGGCGCCAAATTTTGAACCCTTGACACGAATGTCTTGGTCATTCATCAGCGCTACCTAGGTAGTGTGTACCCCAGGATGCCTTCTCCACCTTTTCACCACATGCAAACGAACAGCTGAACACCGACTTCCTCGACATCTGCCTTACCCAGGGATACTGAAGTAGTGTGGATGGCCACACACCTGTTCAGTCTTTTTCCTCATGTGAGCGTTTCTCCTCATCAGACTCTTTCTTCATAGCCAAGGCGGATTGCGCGCACATCTCGATGAGTCCGGTGAAGATGTACGGCTGGTCGTGAATGCGCCTTCGGCATTGTCCTGCATCCTGAACCAGATGCTCGTGTAAGACGCAAGAATTGGACAAAGCCTCCTCCAGCCAGAGCGGCATACCGTCCGACGACTTTTCATTCCTGAACCTCTGGTTTTGGACAATCATAACTTCAAAAGCAAAGTCTTCATTCTTTTCCTTCAACATACGCAGTTTATTAGCACTGCAGTTTTCATCTTGCGAGAGCCACACGAAGGCTGTGGATATGACTAAGAAGCGAATGAATTTGGAGGATGACGGCAGATTTGCGTACGCGAATTCGATCACTCCTTGTTCAAGATCAGGCCACCAATCCCATGAAATTGACTGGGCGACCACGGCAGTCAACACGTCGTCTCGTAATTGGGGGACATCGTACTTGTCAGCGAACACGCAGAGACGCAGGAACGAAAGCAGTGACAAGCAGTATCCCTCGGCCCATTCCGGGTTCTCGAAGTATAACCTTTCTGTGTCTTCGGGATACGTTGGTTGATGATCGCCCGGCTCGTCGAGTGCTCGTGTGATGTCTAGCAGAGTCTCCGCGTTTGGGCCGCTTCTCGCAGGATCCGGGGGCTGCAGCTCTGCAGGGCCGGTCGCAATCGCGTGTCCATGCTGTATTGTTGACTTTGGGACAATTATGGCAGGTGAAGGAACCGTAGCGCCACTTGGCAGCTGGTTGTTCTGGGTCTGTGTCCACTGTAGAAACATACGGAAAGTCTGCTCGGTGACGTCTGTCAGGGATGTGAAGCGATCAGTGGCTTCCACGAAGGAACCCTCGAAAGCGCCGCGAAAGTAAGGTGAGACATCGGATAGTAAGTTGCGGTAGACGGTGATATTCACTGCTGTGTCTGCTTCGCCGACGCGGACGGTGACTGTGTCGAGATCCATGGTCCTGTCAACATTGTTAGAAACGTCGCGGATATCGTGTCGATGCGCCCTACAGAAAGTTTGAAGCCATTGCCGCGACGACTGCGACCAAGCACCGATGTGGGCGCCGAGGTCGAGATGCGCTATTTTGAGTGTGGAATGCAATGCTGGTAATTGAGGGCGAATGTGAAAATGGCAAGGATCTCGGGACGCAGTTGCCTATCCCGTAGCGCCACGCTAGTCAGTGAATTCACCGTAATGCTCCTAGAACAGCACCCTCAATGTTTTCCCCAGAAGGTTCACGAATCACTGCGCGACACGAGCCGACCGAACTTTCATCAGGCAGTGGATCATGCTCATCTGTCACAGTTGGAATCCGTCGTTTGCTATATCCTCATGAAGTAGTCCCGCACCCGGTCCTCTTTACCAGTCGATGCTGCAAGCACACCATGCGCGGACTATCGCGTAAGAACATGCTTGTTCCAGGCTTTCCGGAAATTTAGAGTGATGGAATTCACCGACCATATCGGGAAAATCCAGCTCCTCTTCCATATGCATCGGAACAATGCAGTGATATGTTGAAACAAGCATGTATCTTCCGCCTTGCCATAGCATGTGTGTACCCCAACAAATTCTCTCTTGCCCAACACATCCCATCTCAGCACATCATATCACAGATCCGCCACCGTCTATCATTAATCCCTGAAACCCACTCTGTCTTCTCCGCCACCAATCTCGCCCCTTCCTCGTCGAGTAAACACTCCGTCCACTTAGATACAACCTCAGCCTCATCAAGCCATTGCTCCAACCTGCCTTCAGCATCGGCCTTTTCGATCTCTTCTTTCGGTATACCCTCATCACCCCAATACCAGCTGTAAAATTCTCGTATCGCGAACGTGTCGTACACGAGGGTGTCGAGCCACGCTCGCGTGGCGGCCACTTGGGCTATGTTCTTAGGGTCTTTTGTGTAGACTGTATAGCGTTTGGGAGGGGCGAGGTGTGCTTCAACCGCGCGGAGGCGACGAGTGGCTGCTGCTTGGCGAGGACGAGATGATGATTTCGAGACGGTGTTTTGGTTTGGAAGTTCAAGCAGGGTGGCAGTTGCTGTTGCATGGGTGTTTTGCAGAGCTGCATTTTCTACTCTCTCTTAACGACATCGTCCGGGAGTCTACAGTAATGATGGGCAGTTCTCGTACCTTTGGAATCTTTTGGATCCATATTTGCGGTACGTGATTCTGCGACCAAGTTTATGAAGTGTTCTTGAAGCGAGTCTTGTGATAGGACGCCTGGTTACAAGATATCAATTGCTGAGCTCGACTTTTGAGGCAGTGTTCGAATTGATAAAGTCAGTAGTAACAGCAGATACAATCCCGACTCTTAAGATGACTGTCTCGGTGCACCATTCCTTTCCCTTAGAAGTCATGTGAAGAGCGGGGGAGGCGTGGTCAACTGTAGTAGAGTCGCATAATTGGATGTCAAACCGATCCTACTAATCAGAACTTGGCTGATAGGCCAAAGGATGCATCAGATGCCGTGATACAGTCCGGTATGGCGCTCTGCGATTTTGCGCAATGTTGGCTATGCATGTTAGTTCAGCGCGGTCATGCCGCAGAGCCGAACTACGAAGTCAGACACACCCCACGAAGCACAGCGCAGGGAACTGTTCTTGATACAAGACTAGATATCTCGCTTTGAGGCTTCAGCCCTTCTGCGCACTTCAAGGATCTGAAGCAGCAAAATGTCAATGTTGCAGGTCAACGCACCTGCGCGTTTGAGACGGCAATGACGCTAAACCCCCGCTAGCGCGCCTAACGCGGTCTAGCCGTTTCTGCTTGCCGCCCGCCAAGCGCACCAACATCGATCAATATTCCTGGCTTTTTTCCGACATCGACAACACCTTTCGACATCCGACTACTCACAACAAGCAGTCAAGATGCCGGTATGATATCGCCGCCCGCGGTTGCGACGCACTGCAGGGCAACTTACTGACACTTTCGCAGTCCCAAAAGTCCTTCCGCACCAAGCAGAAGCTTGCAAAGGCGCAGAAGCAGAACCGCCCCATCCCCCAGTGGATTCGCCTGAGGACCGGCAACACCATCAGGTACGCTCTACCCACGATCCGCACGATCTCGCCGCTTCCGATCTCCGTCGCTAGAGATTACAAGGACACGATAATATGATGATGAGAGCACGAGACTGACATTCCGCCCACAGGTACAACGCCAAGCGCCGACACTGGCGCAAGACTCGTCTCGGTATCTAAGCGTATCGCCCCCGACGAACCATCCCTCACTCGATTCTCGATTCCCAACTACTCCTTGTTACTGCGCCGACAACCTACCCCACACGAAACGAGCGACTACATTGGGAATTTCGCACATGGCGGGAAGCGAGCGACCAGTCTTCTAAGCGAAGCACGTCTGCAAACGAGGGATGCTATGGGTGGTGTTCTTTTCACGTTACCGGATACCTACCTACCTCTCATTCATGGCGCTTTGGGTCTGTAAATGGGAATGAAAGGAATCGATTCATGATGGTTTAGATCTGAGCAGTGCTAAATGGAAACACTTGCTGGGTCACAACGAATGACTTTGGTGTGCTGATGATTGTGATGTTGTGCGCGCAATATGATCTCAGATGATGTATGACGAGCGTCGCTTTTGTCATATACTGGGCACTCGCACTCCGAACGCGGTTTGGCACTAAACCTCATTTCAGGCTCATGATCACATCTGGCCCGAGAAGACTACACATGTACGGCGCTCTTGTGAAGAATATTGACTACACTGCATTAACTGTATTCCGCGATGACCCCCGCGACATTGATTTAGCCCCATTGCTTAGCCTTTCGATAACACCACCTCACACAAGGAAAGACCCGACAGGTCTACAGACTACACTAGGATAACACAGGCAAATTGGAAAATATGGCCTCCATGTAGGCTCCAGGGTTCTTGGTCTTCTCATTGATTGAGGTGACTTCCTGGAGAAACCGTTCTACGACGATCACCTCTGCGCGTAAGGTTTCTTTGGAGCGGCCGACAACAATCGCCGCTGCCGCTGCAACGGTAGGCGTCTCAGTATCAGCCCAAGGCGGTCTCTGTCGTACGTCCGATCGGCCTACGGATGGCCATATTAGCGAAGATGCCTCAGAAAGCAAGCCACCTCAGACAAGGAAAACCCCAAACAGGTCTGCAGACTACACCATGATAGGAACAAACGGATCAGAAGATCTGTAGAATCCGGTGTGTTTGGGGGTTTCCCCGTATAAGGTAAAGCCCTCATATTGACGTCCTCTGACCCATCACCTCCCACTCCTCACCTGGAACTTGGGTCGCTGGGTCAGATCCACGATCAAACAAGTCTCCTCGCTCTTGCCCGCTGTCTCATACAGACTGACGACACCCTTCTCGATCTTTATCACCGTACTGCTGCCTGCATAGCAGACGCCCTTCTCCATTCCACACCGATTCGCCATGATGATATAGACAGGTTTATCCCCCTTGGCCTCAACGAGCGGTTGGAAGCGCTCGACCCAGTACGCCACCGTCGCTATATCCGGCTGCGATGGCTCCTGTACAAGTTCCGTAGGCGTAAGGTGACATAGCCAAGCCATGCTTATGCAAACAATCGGAGATTGTGATGTTAGAGCGAGAGTAGAGAACTCGTAATCGGCCCAAGGAGACACGAACTTGTAAGGATTTATATCCATACATATCCCCATGGTAACCTTTCCCAGATTACCGAGTTGGCCGGCATAGAAGGGAGAATCTGGCGATGAGGGATTGGATAGTTTATGCGACTTTGAACCGGGTCCTTCAGATGCCCATGTCTCGTCTGTGTAGTACAGGAAAGATTTCCGGTAGTTGTTTAGTATTTCTCCATCTGGCGATACAGTGACGGTGGAGTTGTACTGCGTTTGACTGTCCCCGGGATTGGCGGCTGGGGTGGTGATTTCTGGGTAACCGACTGTGACGTGGCAGTTATAATGTTTTGCTACTTTCTGCGCCCATTGGGTTGAGATGCCGGATGTGGTAGGCTCGAGGAAGGGTTGGATCTCCTCCAGTGATTGGAAGTTGTAACCTGAGAAGGCGAGTTCGGGGAGGACGAGCCAGGCTAGGTCGTGGGGAATGGCGGTAGACTGGAGGATGCGTTCTGCTCTTTGGATGTTTTCTGGCACGCGCCCAACTTCTGGGGCGAATTGGAGACAGGCGACTTTCATGTTTGCAACTCTCTTGAGTTTGTTTGAATGAACGGATTCTGGTTACGTCCAGGACTTTGGCGTGGAATTGTGAGGCTGTCTGGGTTTTTCGGAAGGCTGCTAAGAGAAGACTTGTATCTTGTGCCTGAATCAGTCGAGACTGATAGGCCGAATAGTTGCTATCTTCCCGTGCGGCTGGGAAGTACCGACTGACGCTACTCAGGCACCAAGCACTGGTTGATTTGTCGTGACAGATGGCTACGAAGTCTGATTGGTTACCAAAAGTAGAATGGGACCGAATGCGGCGACCGATATGGAGAGTACAGTAAATCAAATGTCGCGCTGTTGAGGGTATAGATGCAGCTGGCTGCCCCACTAGACGATCAAGACCCTTGTCGGCTATGATGGCCAGCCAATCGCGCCATTTCCGCACTCCAGCCTAACCCCATCCGGCTATGACGCGCATAACTTTCGATGGCCTCACGAGAGCCTCCACAGCTTACGCAAAGCTACAGCACCCCTCGTCATGTGTCGCGCCTCCCGGTAGCCCTTTCATCCGATCGAAATGGCAGGTAGACGGCTTGTCGATGCCGCCAAGCTCTTCAATGCCTCCAGATCCGTCGCACAGAAGCACGTCGCGCTTCGCTCTAATCAGTGGGACGCTTACAACAAAACCTCGTCGCTAGCCAAAGCCGTCAAGAACCAGACGGACCGCGTCACCCTCACGGCAGCCGCTGCCATCGCCCTCTCACAGCGCTTCAGCGAAGAAGCTCCCTCGTACGCGAAAGCCGCAGCCGAGCGGGCGACGAACACACAATGGACACAGCAGGCGGATATACCTAGAAGAGACACAGTGAAGAGAGATACACCCGTGGAGGGTACTAGAGGGGGTGTAGATCAGGATCATCACTACGATCGATCAGGTCAAAACAGCTCTCAGGCGCCTCCGCCCACAGAAGAATTGGAGGTGGAGCAGAAGAAGGCCCCCAGGTCCCCGCTACCAGACGGCACCATACCAAGCCAAGGGTTGACACTCGAAGAAGAGGAAAAGGGCAAGGATGTGTTCTCCGAGAGGCCAGTGCATGAGGCGCCGAAGGAACCTCTGGCTGAGGACCAGGGTGAACAAGTTCGTCACAAGGACGATGGCATCAAACCGGTAGAGTCCACAGAGGCCACAATACCGCTTCCCGGCAACCCCAGGGGCGCCTCTACACAAACCTCTGAAACGATCCCCGCACACGCGAACGACCCTCAACAGACGCCGATATCTCCACAGGCAGAGAAGCTGCAGAAGGGTCATGACAGAGACGTCTTCTACACGCGATCGGTCGAATCGCAACCAACAGCCTCGTCACAACCTCAATCACAGATACCTCGGAATTCAGGAACAAAACAGCAAAGCGACGAACACGTGCCGGATAAGCAAATGAATCAGGATGTGTTTTACAATGTACCCAAGCCGGCGCAGGGGCAAGTGGAGGAAGACCTACCAGAGGGCATCAACACGGATGTCTTCCATTCGAGAAAAGTTGCTAGGATGCTAGGAAGCGATCCTTTCTCGAGAAAGGAATATGCAGAGCGGAAGACCAGTGATAGACATCCGTTGGATGACAGACCCGTAGCAAAGACCACCGGCAGGCATCCACTCGACGATAGACCTTTGCCGTCAGTACAGCAACAAAGTCAACCGTCAACGCAGTCAAGACCGGTCCAGGAATCCCAACCCGCACCTTCGCCAAAGGAGATGGAAGACTTAGCTTCTCAACTTGCCCAGGACGTGCAGTCAAATGCGGCTGCGTCTGAGGTATGCCAAATCCATCTACTAGCCTGAAGCCTGCTGATTTGCTGACAGTTGTACAATAGTCACCAAATGAGGTAGTGACCCAGCCAGAGAAGTCATCATACGCGCTGCGAGAGTCGAGAGTCCCTTCGTCACGGTTCGGTCGCATATGGCAGTACGCTGGTTTAGGCACAAGCATGGCACTCGGAGCTGTTGGTGAAGGACTTCGACGAGCGA